AGCGATGTAATGTTGATGATGCATGAGTCAGATGAAATTGTTTTAACGATTGTAATTTCGTAGACGGTTTATCGTGTTTTAATTGTTGTTCACGCAAGGTTTATTGTAACAAACGTTGTTAATGAAAAACTGTAATGTTTACAAATTAAAAAAGTAAAGATGTTTTGTAATACGATTTTTATGTGGTTGAGCTAGTAGCCCAAGTCAGACAATTTTTACGATTGTGTCCGACCTGACGACATAAACCACACTTTCTTTCCAGCTTGTCAAGAGAGTCCATTTCAGTTGTAATGCGCTTACTTTTGGGACGATCCTTTTTATTCCTTCGCATTTGGTCATTGTGCCATACTATTTCACCGTCGTATGCAGGCCAATAATCAGGTTTTGCTACCAAAGGGAAGTTATTGTTGTATACGTTGAGCAAGGTTTCAGATTTGTAAATGGGAGAAAAAAGTTGTAATGCGTCTTGATGAGTATAGGCACACACAACAATGACATGAGAGCAAGGCATACGAAAGGTTTTAAACTTGCCACAATCGCACCAACGAGAATGTAGTATAACCCTATACTCTTGTCTTGGCAACCCCTCGTTGTGGTCAATAGTCTCTTTGACAATGAAGTTGTGGTTGTGTTGGTCGAACCGTATAACCAGATGGGTGTTGGCTTTGGCACTTTCTTCCTTAATATACTTCATGCAGCTTTCACTACATAGTTGTCCAAATTGCAACACAACATTCCACATTTCACCTCTTTTGGCAAACAACGAAGCCATCCTAAAATATATTGATTTAACCAAAGCAGTTACTGGAAGGTTTCGTATGTCTTTGAATACCCCGTTCATGGATTCAATTAGATTTGTTGTCATGTGGCCCCATCGTTGTCCATTATCGTATGACCTAGTCCATTTTTCTACTGGAATATTATCGATCCACCTACCAGCGTCTGTATTTGACAATCGGATCTCGTTGTGATAATATTTGAACGTAGGTTGTGTCAATGCATAACCTACATTCATAATCGCTTTCCTAAGAGCTTTGTCTTTGATCTCCCTCATGAAATTTTGGACGATATGTCTAATGCAATAGACATGCGTAGAAGGAGGGTCATGCCAACCATTTGCAGGGTTGTTGTATGCACTCTCAATAGATGCATATCTATTAGAGATCAAATAGATATCTGGTTGAGGAGCCACGTGTGTTCAGAGATTCTTGAGAAAGAAGCTTCAAGCACCACCAGTCTCTCCCTCGACTAGGGAAAAGGCAATTGGGAAAATATTGTTGTTGCCATCTTGTGCAACTACCATCAGTAGCGTGCCTTTGTATTTCCCATAGAACCAAGTCCCATCAATTTGAATAATTGGTTTGCATGACGCAAACCCTGTGATGCAAGGTTGAAAAGCCTAAAACACTCGACTGAATATTCCATTTCCAATGAGTTGACTACCATATGGGGCGTACGCTGGCAGTGTTTCCAGAATATAAACAGTACCCAGAGAATAAGTCTGAACTGCATTCAGGTAGCGAGGAAGTTCTTTGTATGACATCTCCCAGTTTCCATATACCTTTTCAATCGCTTTGGTCTTTGCTAACCATGCCTTTCGGTATGACGGAGTATAGTTAAATACCGTAGTGATGTGGGAGATTATGGTTTTCACCTTCAATGATGGATCCACCAACCATCACTGCAAGAGTGACACTTATCATGCATGCATGCATCCACCAACCACCTCACTTACTTTGTGATAAAATTTTGCTTATAGATACAGAGCCTCACATACTTCTATTACATCCATAATCGTCTCACTCTCTGCTACAAACTCTTTCATAATCTCAGACAATTTCAAACTCTTTCATAATCTCAAACAATTTCAATAATGACTCTTCTCACAATAGGCGATTCTCACAGAGGCATAAGGGACAATATTGCAGCGTTTGTAAGTTTCTTGTATACTTATACATTTTTCATACTTCTATTGATGATTTATTAATCTTATGGACTCTTACACTTTTTACATTCTTAACTTAAGATACTAAAAGATTCAGAATCCGGTCACATAACTACCTTGCTCCCAACCCATTGATCGCACCCTATCTCGAATACACGTTTCAGAAACGTTATAAAGATCTTCAACTGTACGGTTGATTCAAAGTTCATACTTGCAATGTTGGAAAGGTGGAGACCAGAGACCCATACATTTCATCTACTAATAAGCGAATGTATTGTCACACTAGAGGAAGTGTACATGTTATTGGGTCTCCCTGTCGAAGGTAAGGAGGTTAACGGGTCGGTTCAACAACCCAATTCTCTGTGTGAAGAATTGTTGGGCAGGGATATAGTTGAAGGTGGTGGTGCGAGAGGTTAGGGTATACTACTTACTGGGCTCAAAAATCATTATGCGACTCTGGAATTGAACGAAAATTCCTCCGAGCTAGCTAAGGTAATAAAAGTTAGAAATTATATAATGATACTATTTGGAACCTTTTTATTTCCCGAAAGTACGGGAAATAATATAAATTTTATGTATTTAAATTTACTTAGTGACTTTGAAAAAACTAGAAAGTATAGTTGGGGTTCTGCTGTTTTAGCCCATTTATACAGTTCCTTGTGTAAAAATGCAATCAAGGAAAAATGTACATTTTATGGCTGCGCTTTTTTACTTCAAGTCCGGGGTCGGTGGAGAATGGAGTCCCTAAACCATGTCAACAACAACGCATTCGTTTTCCCATACGCAACAAAGTAAGTCATTAACTTATATCATTTATTATTATTCATCACTTCACCAAATATATGATAAAAATAAAATATTTTTCAATTCCTTTAGGTACTGTGTGAGGGGTATGGATTACGGCAAGAATCTAAGATTCAATGTCGCTCTATATCACAATCTATTGGATCACCTTGGCCCGAATGATGTACGTCATACCTTTCAACTTTTCTACTTTTAAATTATTTATTTTTTACGTTTTCATTAAGCTGATTTAATTTTATCTGCAGTTTGTCTGGAGACCATATTTGGGTTTGGACCATGAACCAAACTCCAAGGATGCAGCAATTTAGAGCACAAAGACTGCAATCATACGGTTTAATATTGTGGAGATGCACCATAACGACCGTGTCAAGATGCAGTTTAGAATGCCTCAAGAGATACCCTGCGATCCAACTTGTTTATCCCCGTGGCATCCCAAAAGGGTCGACGCCCAATGGGGTCTTACCAACTGGAAAATTTTTGCTCCAGAATGGTATAAGATGTGGCAGAGGCGTCACTAACATGTCTTGCAATTCTCAGTTTTCCTCAACTGTGGTAATATGCGACACACAAATCAGTATTTAGCTTGGTACAGATCGGTTAGTATCCCAGAAATGCACGTGTCTCATCCAAGGTATTTGGTTGACCCACGAACACAATGAGCACAACCCTCATTTCTCTAACAACAAACCCAACACACATCAACCTCCCACCAACCTCCCCGACGAAACAAAACCATAATCACCACCACAATACGATTACACCCACATGTCCCATAACTAACCACAACCACCACCTCAATACCAATACCCCCATATGCCTCACACTCAACCATAATTTCAATCACAATACCAATACACCCACATGCCCCACACATAATTCCAGTCTTCTACATATCCTAATATGGGCCCCTCAACATCTAACCTTAGCCCCGATCTGGGATTTTCCGAAGATTATGAACCAGTCGACCAAACTTACCATCAACCACCACATCACCAAAGCACCCAACATTCCCAATACCAAACACCCCAAGATCCATTTCCTTTCTACCCCTCGTACTCAAACGACCAATGCTACAGACCAACCATGGAACCCCACCCACCACCAACACGATCAAACTTTGAGGGTATGGGTAACCGACTATACCAAAACTGATCTTCTAGATATAGAGATCTGACTGATTTTATGGATCCGGAACGCATTGACTTTGTTGGGCCATCAACCCTGCCACAACAAGAAACACGACGAAACCCAGCACGGGAAAAGCGAGGACGGGGATGCGGAACCAGAGGTCATTACCGGGTTCCAGGGGACCACTGATTAATCTATATTTTTTTATATAATCGTTATGTGTGTAATCATATTGTGTAAATAAAAAGTCAATTTTCTTGCTCCTATATCGTTTACGTAACGTACCGCATTTAAAATAAAAAACGCGAAAAATTGCCTGTCATTTGCACTAAGGCGCCATCTCACTTGGCTTAGGACAAGACTTTCACACATAGACGCCAAGTGAGATGGCGCTTCCCCTTTAAAATTAGGTGTAGGCGCCAACTGGGTTGACTCCTTCCTTGTGGAGTTTTCTGAAACATAGTTATTTGCGTAATTTTTTCCGAAATATGGTTATTTGCGATTTTTTTAATACCTAATTATTACAAAAAAAAAATCTTAAAAAACTACCTAACAAGTTTCTTATGACTCCTAACATTGCAAACACTAACAAAAATTTGAATTTTCGACCCTAAAACAAAATTTATAGGTAAAATTACATAAACTCTAAAAAACTCAAAAACAACTTACAAGTGATGAATTTTTTACTTGAACAATAAACTATATTTGGTGCTTGATTATTTCTAATGAACTTTTCGCAAAATAGAATGATTTTGCCACAATGGAGTGTGACAGAGTTTGGTTTTTGGGTGTTGGACGGTTTTGATTTCAAATGGTTTATGAAAATGAGGAAGGAAAAGAGACGACACATTTAAGTTATTACATAAACCAAAAATATGACTACAATACCTACCATAAATGCATTTTCGATTAATTTTCAATTCATACATAGAGTCTCGTTCACCAAATTTTAAATTTTGATAGGTAACAAATGCATTTCCAATTTTCAAGAACATTTTTGACTTTGTTAAGTAAATCCCCTTAATTTTCAAACTCGTTCCTGGTTTTACAAGAAGGTGGTGGTGACTAATTGACTTATTATCCGACTTATACTTTTGTTATTACCATCACATTAATCTCAGCCATGCCCATGCTTTCTTCTTCACGACACTTCATTCCCACTACTACGCTAACGTCGTCGTTTCACTCTCCTCTTTCCCTAAAACGCTGTTTTCTCCTCCGTTTCTCTTCCAATAAGATTTCACTACCCATGGCTGAATCAAATAACAACAGTACAAACTCATCATCACTACCACGAGGTGGAGATATTAATGCAAATGTAAGCCCCATTTTCAAGATTCTTTCGTTATTTGCTGGTTTAGGTTTTAGAGATCCTAATGTTATTTACCGCGAAATTAGAGAGTAAAAACCTGAAGTGGAATATTATTTGAATGATTAACAATGTTCTATAGTATATGCCAATTTTTAGCACAAATTGTGAATTTGATTTTCATGGTTTGTTATTAGTATAAGAGATATTTGGCTTGTAATGAATTCTAGAATTGCTACATGTTGTAACCAAAGACAATGCTTGTTTTTCTTTTGCTATCCAATCATACTATCCATAGGGTGCCTTGTCTACACAGACGAGGCAAAATCTATGAAGGACATACACCTTTAGAAGCAGGTGTGTCGCCGGTGTCCGACATAAAAGTCAAACAAGTGTCGGAAAAGTCAGACAAATATCTGTCAAAAATTTGTTTTTTTCTTTGCTTCAACACATTTTGAATTGTCTGATACTCATATGACACTCATACAACATGTGTCTGATAATTCAGACAATTTTTCTTTAAAAAAATTGTGTTTTCCTTTTCCTCAACACACTATATATTTTCTAGAAAAATATCATGCACTACTAAAAGGGTTAAACATGTATTAAAGCAATGTTATCAATGAAGAATTAAAGAAATTAATTTTGATTAGAATATTTTTAACTCTTTCGATATTAGATGAATAAATGAAACTCAAATACTATGACATATATAGTGGTGTCGGTGTCCTAGGTTTTTGACATATCGGTGTCGGAGTGTTCATATCGCGTTGCGGTCTCCGTGTCGAAGTCTGTGCTTCATAATACATAGTAGATGTTAATTATACTTATACTAGTGGAATCGTGTTAGTTGAGACTTCAAGGACTTATAGATTCTTCTGAGATTTGTTGCTTATTTTCTCATGCATTGCAATGAAATCATTATTTCCACCAGACAGAAACAATAATCTGAACAAAGGAGATACCAACAACAAAATGTTCAGATGATGGGGTTAGATAACCATGTTGAATACTCAGGCGTAGATGGACAAATCCACAAAGAACATCATTCTCGGGACATTCTTAATTTGATATACTTGTCAAAAACAGCACAGGAATGTAGTTATATTGGCCATAAAGATAATTTACAGTTGACTTTTTTTGATAAGTGCTTTTTTTGATAAGTATATCAAATTAAGAATCAAGAGAGAGCTTGTTGTTTTGAAGTAAAGCTTTGTGTACTTGAAGTTCCTTAGGGGTGAAACTTGACTGGTTAGACATAGGCTCAGCTGGCTTTTTCAGCAGGTGAATGTTCAGAATTTTCTCTGGCCATACTGTTGATTGAAGAAGGCTTGAATATCGTGCCTGGGGGATAGCCATGCTTCTTGTAGCATATATCCATTGTGTTGCCAAGCTAGCCGCAACTTGAGAAGTTTGTTTAAAATCATTAATTTCTTAGGATAAATTTGTAATTTTTATTGGATCATAAAGTCGCTTTCTAAATCTTTTGAAACAACCAAAGCAGCTCTACCGAAAATCGAGCTATGAGCTTTTGATGGATTAACACTTTAATAGATATGACCAAGTTTCTTTATATCTAAGTTGAGTTGTATACATAGCTAGACATTTATTGTAGGAGCCTTAGCCTTTGTTAATCATGGAACTAACTGTGTAACAGTAACTATAACTTCTAATTATGATTAATAGCTACTAACTGAAATTCACCTAACAATCAATATGTATCGGAAAAACAATTTAGAAATATTTGATAAGTTTGTGCGTATTGTTGTTAACTTTTTGCTTATAAGTTATAACGCGAGTCTTCATTTTCCTTAATTTGGTTATGACGTGCAGGATAAAAAGAAACCGGAGAGTTCACTCCTTAACTTTATATCTAGAATTGATTATCAACAAAGTAAATTCAAGAGAAGAATTCGTGTCGACTTAGAAATGGGACAGCACAATTGGAATAACTCTAGTGAATCTAGTTTTTGTTCCAGTTTTGATGATAATAATAGTAGTAACATATCACCAACAAAGACATTTTCGGTGACAAAAATGTTCACAAGCCACCATAATGAATCACCTCGTCGAAGTCATTTATTGAAGGATGATACTGCATCAGCAGATAGACGAAATAATAAAAGGCAAAGAAAATTTAACTATGACATCTGCAGTCGTGGTAACAGAAATTCTACTTCGACGGGAGCTGCACAGCTAGATAAGAACAAGGAAAACTGCATTGAATTTGAGATGCAGGAGGAAGGAACTAATGAAGGGATACTGAGGCCAGGGATGGTTCTCCTCAAACATCACTTAACACATCATGAACAGGTACTTGTTGTAATGGAATGCATTTATATATCTAGTCTTCCCTCGTGTTCATGAATGACGCAACATAAGTTTTTCACGCTTGATGTATTGGAATACTTACTTATTTCATACATGGTGGGTTTATTTCTTTTACCACGTTTTCTTGAATAACTTCAGGTAGAAATAGTGAAAAATTGTCGAGATCTCGGTCTCGGTCCTGGAGGATTCTATCAACCAGGCTATGCAGATGGAGCCAAACTTAGATTGATGATGATGTGTCTTGGTATGGACTGGGATCCTCAAACAAGAAAATATGGATTTGAAAGGGTAAGTGATGGTAGCACGCCACCAAGTATTCCTCCTTACTTTAGTAAGTTGGTTTCAAGAGCTATACTAGAAGCACACCAGCTATATAATAGGGAACGTGGAATAAGCGATATAGAGGATATACTACTACCTTCAATGACTCCTGATATATGCATTGTCAATTTTTATTCAACTAGTGGAAGGCTTGGTCTTCATCAGGTTAGCTACACTACTTTGTTGCTAGCCATTTACATTTTTTGTTTCCATTTTAAAACTACTTGATGCAGGATCGTGATGAAAGCAAAGAAAGTCTTCAAAAAGGGTTGCCCGTTGTATCTTTCTCTATTGGCGATTCAGCAGAATTTCTTTATGGAGATCAAAGGGATGTTGTGAAGGCAGAGAGTGTACTTCTAGAATCAGGAGATGTTCTTATATTTGGCGGTGACTCTCGACATGTCTACCATGGTGTCTCATCTATCATACCAAATTCAGCCCCAGAGGAATTGGTTCAAGATACCGGCCTTTGTCCAGGTCGCCTCAATCTTACATTTAGACAGTTTTGACATCTCCTGATATTTAGGTCAGTAATGCTATCGATGTTCTTGTAGTCATCTTTGTCTATATGTATATATTAACAAAAAAAGTTTGGCTATCCACATTGTGTCATATGACTGCATCTCCGTCTATCTGTTTTTTTTTTTTTACATTAGAAAAGAAACGAAACCTGTCATATCGTTTATTTTCTGGCACTCGTGTTCAACGCGAGTCTTATCTACGATTGCATTATAAAACATTGTTTTCCTCTAGTGAGTTGAGTAAATAGTTTGTTGTTTACTTACATTCTCATTTGTGTTATTAACTAACCCTACCCCTTGTATAGTCTACGTTGATTGAATTTAGTTTCTAGTATAAAGTTGTTGAGCTATATTTAATTTTGAAGGACACATTTGTTTAGTTACATATACCTGTCTCTTGTGTCCATAATTGTTCCCTATCAATTTAGTGAATTGAATTTTAGTTGGCTGAGGTTGGTTCCTTAACTAGCAAGTTATCAATGCACCACTTTCATGTGGTAAGGTCAACTGGTTTTTCAGTAAATTTGTATTTTTCTATTAAAAATAAAATAAAATTCTTAACCCAGATTATATTATTAGGCCTAATGATTTGGAATGGGGAAGAACAATAAATATAGGGAGAAGAAAGCAATAAGGGAATTGTTAAAATAGAAAGTAAAGTAGCATGGAATAATAGACGAAAGTCTGATACAAGCTGAGGAAACTCAATGAGGTGGAGCCCTCGTTGCCCTTCCTTTATTCTCATTAGTTAACTCAAACAGCTAGTGCTGGTAATACTGCAGTAGAAAGAAGTGTCGTGCTATCTTCTTCTTTCCTTCATCCAAACTATGATTAGAACTTGATGCTGCAATACATAATACAAGGTCAGAATCAAATGACATCACGGTGTTAAATTTATTATATGATATCTTAGATAATTCTTAAATACATATCCGTATAACAAAATTCATCGTTGGATTGAAAATTATTATTAAACAGAAATTAATGTAACAACTAATATTAATGTATCAACTAATCTCATCTTATCTTAGAGAACATTGGTTCAATTTGAGAATATGATATGAAATCAACATTTTATTCTCATTACACATTCCATTGTAACTATATTTTGTTGTTCCACTTCATTTTGTTTCATTTTATTTTATCATTTTTAGGCATATTTAATAAGTTATTGGTTATGTATGAATTTAGGTTTGAATCAGAGACATCCTACTCAACTTTTTCATGTAGTAGTGATTCCAATTAACAAATATGAGTATGCTATGAGAAGAGTGAGTTATAAAACCTACACATTACAGTCGGTAGAGGTGCTAATCATGTAGGGAAGTCTAACACCACATTAGGCAGGGAGAGTAGCAACATTGTTGGTGTTCAAACCACGGATGGAACCAGCAGAATCTTTCAAGCAGTTGCAAGCAACCCTACGGTCGGCGGTAGTTTGGACCACCGAGTTAAGATTCCTCACACCACCACAGCATTGTGCTGAAGGATTAAAATTTAGAACCACTCCTAAGATAAGTAAGGCATGGAACAAGGGCTGCGCTTACCACTCCGCATGAGACTGCAGCCTCTGCCATGGGTGCACTAACAACCACTATGCTCATCAATGCAACCACACATGAAACTCTCAAGCTTGCCATTGCTTCTCTAGGAAATGGATTGAAATTGAAATATTGCAATTTGCTTTTGCTTTGCTTGGTTAGTAGAAGTGATTCACGGTGTGGGTTTATTTAGAACATAAGCGAGGTGGTCTTTGGTGTGTGTTTGGTTTCAAATCAAATCTATTGAAATTGGTTGTGTCTATCAAATATTAAATTAAAAATCTATTTTAGTTCCAAGAAAACAAAGTCCTAGCAAAAAATGTAAGTGCCGTAGTAAAAACTGTAGCAATAGAATCCATTTTAGTACATTCCAAGAAAAGAAAGTTGTTGTTTCAAGGTTTCAAAAATTCAACCACAAAAGAAATTGTTGGGTTGAGTCGCGGACTAAGTCGCTCTCTTTAAGATGTTTCGCGACACTGTCTAAAATTATGTCAAGTAGTCGAACTCCCGCGCCGCTTCAAGGATAAAACAACTCAGTTCTATATTGTACGATTATTACTTGCACGATAGATAATCAATCTAGATATACACCCTCTAATGGTATTAAGACCATTCGAATATGGTATAAATATCGCTCTAGTATCTGGTATAACCGACAGTCGTAATAATTTCTCAAGCCAAGAGAAATTTCAATAATTCACCAAAGAGAATTCAATAATGGTCATTTTACTCAAAATGATTTCTCAAACAAAGAGAAATTCAAATAATTCTCTAAAGAGAATCCAAAAATTTTACTTGATAATTTCTCAACTCTGTTGTACCTTAATTTTTGACCATAAGATCCCACCTCATATGCATCATCGCATCTCTAACAAAATACAAAGATAGCTTTTGTGTTTTCTTCTTGTGTCAAGCGGGATTTTGAATCAATAACTCTTCATCAATACAAGTCTTGATCAATTAGGGTTTGAAGTTTAGTCCTTGGGGTTTTTGATTGAAGACAGTTGATCACTGGTTTTGGGCTTAGTGCATGACTAAATGACTTGAAGCCTTGATTCATAGAACTCAAATGCAACATCTTGACCTAATTGTATGGCTCAAGACATTTTCAAAGATGCAATTAATAGATAGTGAAAGAGTTAAAATCAACTGATGACAAGTCAATTGTCATAAAAGTCAAACTTTGACTTTTGGTCAACGTTGAACTTTAAAGATCAAGAATAATCAAAACATTCAAAATCATCAAACTTGTCCGTCAAGAATAAAGAGAATAAAAAAAAGTCAATAAAAGTCAAAGTGGAGACAATTTCAACACTTGAGATTTTCAAGTGATTTATGCCTAATAAAAGCCCCAGCTTCATAGGTAATTTTCACCAAGATACAAGTTGATTTAAGAAAAACCCTCAACATGAAAATTGTAGAGCATGATTCATACAACAACTTTGTCAATGAGTGTTGGTCTCCAAAAAAATGCTCAAATCAAGAGATATATAAGCACATAAAGTTCTGTCAACACTTAGAGAATTTTTTCCAGCAGTTTTGATCAGAAAAATATCTCAACTTCATGGCCATTTTTCACTAATATCCCAATTTATTCAAAGAAAATTTTAAACATGAAAGTTGTAGATAATGTTTCAAACTTTCCAAAATGTCCAAGAGCGTGAAAATGAGATGCTTGAGCTAGGAGAATCGAAGAAGTGAAGTTAGGCATTTACACTTGAATTAGAAGTCCATTTTGTGACAAGTTCTTGACAAATCTCCAAGCCTTACCAAGAGACCACACTTTTCAGACCATGAAATCTCTCCATGATCAGAGATTTAAATGAGTCCTAAGTGCATTACACAAGGATTAGAAGCTTTATCCATTTCGAAATATCATTTTTAGATGAATTTGCATAAAGTCACTTTTCTACTTTGATAAAGCAAGCTTTATGTCAACAACTCCTCACTTAAACTTTTAACTTGCTTCTAATCAGATCATACAAATCTAAACCCTCAGAAGCAATCTCATAAAGGCAATTAAAGCATGACAAATCCCTTGATTAACTCATTTTCTTTATCATGAAGCAACTTACACTTTTGTGCAAAAGAAAACCAAATGACCAAACCACCATTCAAATTGAACCAAGATGGTTCCCTGCAAGTTACATGAGCTATTTGGAGCCTCTATGAATAGAGAAGTCAGCCTCAAAGTTCAACACACCAAGTTTACACACAAAAAACTCCATTGTTGCATTCTTCACACCTTATTTTCGAAACTCCCACCTCTTACAATATTTTTGCAATCTAACCATTCACACACCTTCTATACCTCATATATAAGTCATCCAAACCCTCTTTGCACATCTCTAACACCTCCATCATCATCCCCCATATCTCACTTGTACCATTTGCAACTTGAATTTGTTAGAGAGATTCAGAAGGTTTCAAAGTAAAGTAGTTATACCATTAGCTTCCTGGAGGTTCAAGGAAACTCATTGCGTTATTATTTCTCATCTGGAAGTGTTGAAAGAAGCTTTGGACTTTCTCCAAAGAGGTACTTTTCTGACCCTCTTCAAACTACATCATACACTTATCATTATTGCATACATTCTGAAACAAAAATGTAGATATCACTATGTTGATGCTTAACCCTAAGCTTATTGATTTGAATCATGCATGTGTGTTAAGATTTGTGCTTCTGAATATTTTTTAGATTTTTTGGTTTTGTTAGAAATCCGTGAGCTATGGTTGATATAAATTTGTGTGGTTTGTATTTTTGAAATCCTTGTTAAATTCTGAGTGATTTTCATTTTTCCATCATTGAAAATTATTGAGAAATGAGGAAGTTACAAATGTCACCATGATTGTTGTTGTTGTTGCTGCTCGTTCACGAAGAAGATGAAGATGGTGACACCATCTTCATTTTCAAAATTCTCATTTTATTACTTATTTAATTATTTCTGTTTTAATCATCAGATGTACCACCACCCCCGTGGTTAGAGTGCGTGTTTTCAAGTCTTTTTGTCCCCAAGGGCGAGGGTTCGATCCAATGTGAAACCCCTTTTTTACATATTTTTCAATCTTTTTGTTTTCTGAGCATTTAACACTTGTTTTTAAATATATTTTTATGGGTGTGTCTATTATCACTACTGAGCGCGTGGCTCAGTGGATTGTATTTTTTGTGGTAACCATAAGGGCGCAGGTACAAGCCTTGACAACCCATTTGATTAATTTTTATCATTTGTTTTTTGAGTTTATTTAATCATTTTCTTTTAATTAATTCAATATGCAAATTAACTTATTTTAAGCTAATTTTTTGCACACTCCTTATTTATTTACCCTATTTTATGAATATATAAAAATCTTCAAAAAAAATTATTTGTTTTATCCAAGAGAGTATGCAAATCAACTTATTTTAAGCTAATTTTTTTTCACTTTAAATGACCATAACATGTCTTGTGATGA